TGCGTCGATTTAAGTAGGCAGGCAGTTGAGATGGTACAACTGGGGCCGCTGGAGCAATGAGGGGCTGCTGTGACCAGAGCTGGTGCCAGTGGCTTGGCACTCAGCCCACCCTTTCCCCTGCCTCCTCATCTGGCACTGCCACTCAAGTTTGCAGGTACCTAAGCACAGTATACAGATTCTGTAGTTTTCTTTTTTTTTTTTTCCTTCTTCTTCCTTCAGTTTAAAGTGTAATTATCCCTGCACGGAAATCAAAATACTTCTATCACTCATTTTCCCCAAGGACTATAGTACACATTCTCACAGACACGTTTTTAAGACACATCAAAGTACATCTAACTATGGAGAAAAGAGGGGAAAGTGCAGAATAAAGAGAAAGTATTTACAAAAAGGTAGTTAACTATCTTATTTTAAAGAGGCATTTTTGAGTAAGGCAAGGGACCTTAAAATTTGTATGTATGGTGCTCCATACACACGGACGTGGGGCGCTCCAACACACAGGCGTAGGACGCTCCAATATACACAGGCCTAGGGCGCTCCATACACACGGACATAGGTGTAGGGTGCTCCATACACACGGACGTAGGTGTAGGGCGCTCCATACACACGGACGTAGGTGTAGGGCGCTCCATACACACGGACGTAGGTGTAGGGCGCTCCATACACACGGACGTAGGTGTAGGGCGCTCCATACACACGGACGTAGGTGTAGGGCGCTCCATACACACGGACGTAGGTGTAGGGCGCTCCATACACACGGACGTAGGTGTAGGGCGCTCCATACACACGGACGTAGGTGTAGGGCGCTCCATACACACGGACGTAGGTGTAGGGCGCTCCATACACACGGACGTAGGTGTAGGGCGCTCCATACACACGGACGTAGGTGTAAGGTGCGCCATACACACGGGTGTAGGGTGCTCCATACACAGAAACACACACCCACTTAATCTCTCTTTTGCCTCCTGGAAGTATTAACACCTGAAGTAAAAGGCATTTTTAAATTTGGAATGATAAACAGAGAAATCTTAATGTTCACAAAATAAACAGGTTCTACTCTTTTGCTCTTACCAGTTGAGTCTCAACTATTTTTCTTCTCCCTTTAACCTCATCTAGATTCCCGCGTGAGGGAGTCAATGACCTAATTCTGCTCTGTTCCAATGCAACATGAGAACATTTTCCGAAAACCTCTGCTGGTCTTCGGAACCCCAGTGTCATTATCCTCCTCTAGAAATAATCCTGAGATCAGCTCTGACATCAGTTGCCAGCCCTTCTATCAGCTTGTTGGAGAAGCATCTTTACCTCCTGCCAAGTAGTGACCTAAAAAGTTTAATCCGGTTTACTTTTACAAGGTCAAAGTGTGTACAATTCTATCTTGGGCTAAGAGAAAAGGAAAATCGCTCATCTAAATTTTAGATTCCTGTTGTTTAAAAATTTTTTTTTTCTCTGTCCTGTTTTTCATCCTTTGGTCCCTCTAGATGTATTATAAGGCTCACATGGGATCTGTGGTCTTTTCTGCTTTATCTTAAAGCTTTAATGCTTATCAAACCACATGCCCAGTTGGTTTAACTTCTATACTGACCAATTAGGAAAGCAAAAATCTTCAAGCTCCTAACCTAACTGGCAATGAAATCCAAAATAGAAATTTACTGAATTCTCCAAATTGACATTATTCAATGACCAAAAGAAAATACATACAAAAAATCCTGGCCAATTTACATACTCCATTCATCAAAAAAAAAAAAGCTGTTTTTAACCTATGACTGTGACATGAATTTGTTTTTAATAATGTCTCAGTTTCATATAACCATATATTCAAGGTCTTTATCATTCAAGGTACATGAAGGTTGTGCATTTAATCTTTAGCATGGTTGCAGAAGATATGATTCACAGAGTAGAAAATAGATAAAAATAAGCATGCAGCAGCATGGTACCAAATCATCAGAACTCACCATCTTATCAACAAATGGAAGTCATTCTTCTTTATTTCTTGAGCAAAGCAGTTTCATATAAGATAAATAGCTTTCAGTCAGAATAGCCTAACACGCAATATGCATCTTTTTGACATGTATATTCTAATACTACTTTAGACCTTAAGATTAAAATAAGAAAAATTTCAGGGTTGTGTGTTGACAAGAAATACTGGTTGAATCTGCATTTTTTCCATTTTTCATCCCCCAGAATTTGGCCCTGTGTGTGTATGTCTGCACATTACCAGATATTATTAAGTGATCAACTTCTGGTGACCTTCAAGTACCATTTCCTGAAGTTTTAGACTTCAGAATGATTTCTAGTACTTTTTTTTTTTTTCGTAATACCTAACACTGAAAACTGCTTCATGCTTTATGTTTTGTCTTCAGAGACCAGAATTTAGTAGAACATATACCTAATAGATTCAAGGGATAGAGTTTTAGATATTTGGGCTGGAGAAAGCCTCTTGGCTAATTTGGGTTTTATTTTTCCCATGATGCAAAAGAAGAATTTAGGTTATGTGATTTTTAAAATTACCAGTACCAATACCCAGATCTCATACTGTATTATCTACAAATCATTATCCTTGCATTAACATAGAAAGAAACAGAAAAGTGAAAAAGGTGGAATTTTAAAAATGATGTGGACCTAAGTCTGTGGCCCTGAACCAGAAGTGCTATTTGCTGAGGCTTTCCTGCCCCTTCTCTTCACGAAAGCTGTTCACAGCAGCCTGCCACTTTTCAGAGAGCCGTGGGGCTGCCAGGCTTTTGTCCTCACTTAAATATTAACTTCTACTTTCTGTGATGGAAAACTAAAACCTTTTATTTTGGAGAAAATTGGTGAAGTAGTAGAGAACTTCAATGTTCAAATATTCATTGTTCTCGTATTTACCAGTTTGTACAGGCAGAAGGTAGAATTTCCATGTTTCATAGCAGACCTCCTCTGAGTAAACCCCTACCTCTGCTACTTACTTATCTAGCTCTTTAAACTGAATTATTTCCTCAGCTGTGAATAAGACAAAATATTTACATGTATGACAATGTAGAAGAAAAGCAATTATTTGTGAGGTGTTCAAAAACTACTTGCTCTTCTCGTTGCCTGTACTTCATGGTCAAACGATTTTGAAGAGTACTGGCAATGACCCTGAACTTTATCAATATAAGCAATCTACAGATCTAGGGACCGGCATATGGTATAACGGTTACATGGCTGGGCTCCCATTGCCATTGCCCACAGTTCAAGTCCCGGACTCAGCAGTTTGAAACTCATGCTGTGTGCATGTGCATGTGTGCCCAAAATCCTGAGAGGAGAATGGCAGAGAAGGGATTGTGGCATGGCCATCCCCCTGGAGGGTGATTTCTCACTTTCATTCTCTCTGTCTCTATGGTGAGCATACATGCCCCATATCAAAAATGTCTCTGTAAAATATGAAGAAATCTACAGATATCTCTTAACAAACACATCTTAGTGGGCAGGCATATCTTGCAAGATGTGAAAGAAACTGCATTGTTTAACCGGGAAGATGTTGCAACTTGGTTTACACTGGTGATTTTGCTCTGGCTTATACTGATGAGTAAATTGCCTAATTTCTTAAGTTTGGTCTTTCTGTGCCTCTGCAATTCCATCCCCCTCTCATTTTCATCTCCCAGCCCCCATAATTTTAAAGAAAACATAAAAATGCCAGCCGTAATGATGAAATCACTTCTTCTGGTGTGAAATTAGTCATACATGTGAAAGCTCTCAGAAAAGGATGAAGATCTATGCAAACAAGACAGCAAGTAAGAATAAAGTAAGTAACAGCTTCTAAAAAAGTAAATTAATTCCTACTAGATAAAATGCCAGTGTACAGTAAACATGTGCTATGCCCCAGTTTTGTGGGACTTAGGAGAGATCTTTTCGGATAGCCTAAAAGGGACAGTCAGGAAGTCTGGATCCTAAAAACAGTTTTCCTTCTTGCTTTCCATCTGGGCTGTTACATTGTTTCAGAAAGTACAGCATAACTTTATAAACACTCCACCCCATTGGAATCTAACTCTATAATTTTGCTAAGTCTATAAGCTTAGACAAGTTACTTATCATCTCCATTTCTGATCATAAAAATGGAGGTGGAACTATCTTAGAGAGCTGCAGGGAACCCTAAAAAAGAGTACATGTAAAGACCTTGGCCCACAGTTTCATTCAACACATGTTCAAAAAAAGTAGTTAAGAATTACTATTGATATAATTTCTGAAAGAGAAGGCTAGATTGAATGATTTAAGTTCTTTTTCATTTTTAAAATTAGACAGACACCTACCCCTCTCTTTCTTTCTTACAAAATCCCTGAGCTGAGTGCCTGACCAGATTTAGTAGGAAGAGTGTTCTGGTTGGATACTTATAAAATAAAAGCTATTCTATCTTCACAAACCTGAACAGCATTGCCAGTATTCTGCCACAAGTGAATCTGCATGTGTTATTCCATCTTCAGTTTATACTTACAAATAAGGAGAACCAACTCAGATAATAAAAGTGGGAGCTGAATATTTTTGCAAGCTATTATAGGATTTTGAAAGGGTACTATAAACACGTACAAGATGTGACTATATGGTAATGAAATGAATTTTCCTGTGTGCTGCGAAGGCTCATTAGCTTCGAGCCATGCTCTGTGTTGTTCTACAGAAGCCATGTGTGACATTACTCACTAATGGCTCATGCTGTCACTAAATATTTGTCTCTAACTCCCTCAGTCTTTGGTAATGCATGCATATACTTGCGTGCAAATTAACAGCTCTGCAGAATTGAAATAAGGTACCCAGAATAGATAGTCCTTTTATTTCCTAAGGGTTCAATAAGAAATAGTTACTCTCCTAATTGCAGACTTGACCAGACTTGTTTCCAAACTTGGACAAATATTCTCATTTCATCAGAAAAAAAAAAAAATATATATATATATATGATTCTCAGTAAATAAAAGTGAGCTTTTCTTTTAATGGTCTTACTATTTACGTTAAACTGTGATTATAAGCCAGGGAGAAGAGGAGGTGTGTACACTTACTTTCTTCATCGAGGAGGTTTTCAGCAGCTGATAGTAACCTCATTCTGTCTTCTGAGTTTTCAATGTTTAATTCAATGAGATGACTCTCTTTTATATCCTTTAAATCTTCTAGAGTCTCATAACCATTGAGCAAAAGTGTTGAGGTGTATTCCTATGGGGAAGAAAAATATGTATAGTATAATATAGTCAGATCCAAATATTTTATTTTTAGTTCTCTTTAAATTTAAAAAAAGTATAGGATTGCATATGGAAATTACAGGTGCCAGTAGAACTCTTGCTTAACTTTATTTTATTTGTACTAGTTTCTCACAGGGGAACTCTAGGGGACTTAAAACTTACATTGTATAAATCTCACCTTCTGTAAACACAAATATAAAGATGAAATAATTACCTTAAACTATACAATGCTAAATCATAGATCAATTAAATAGCTGAGTCATTTCTCCCATTTGGCATTTTTCACTTCTGAACTAGCTAAATTGACAGAACTGTTTTCTTAAGTCAATCAGTAAAAGGGTATTATAGTGATATTTCTGAACCTATATGTTTCTTATTTGCTTGACTGCAAAACCATCATTCTCCTTAACTCCTCAGGGTAGATTGCAAACTAATTTGAAACAGACACAATTCTATATTAAAGTGAATTTACCATTTTGGTTGAAAGACTTTACATAAACCTAAGGAATCTCAGACTTTCTATTTAATTAAAAGCTTTTATTAAGCACAAAGGCACTCTAGTTGGGAAAAATATTGTTTTCTTTTTTTCAGCTCCTATTATTTTTGTCATCATTTGCATCAATACATCTTAGTTTAAAATTCATAGGCTTCTAATTTCATAGTCTACCTACTATCTATGTAACCTCTAACAGAAAGAAAAGTTGAACACTTTTCCAACTTCCCCAAAAATTCCTTCTATTTTTAATAATAATGTTTATATCCTCAGTTAGTTATAAAAAAGGAATAAGAGGAAATCTAAAAGCTTTAAGCAATTTGGAAGAACTTATTACTAGTCTTTTACAAAAATAAAAAAAAAGAAAAAAAACAGGAAAGAAGAGTGACAATTCTTTTGAAAAACAGTACTTTAAAAGAGCACTGAATTGAAACAGAGAACAAAATTCCCATTGTGACATAACCATCTAACTGTGGTTTCACGGGGAAGTTATTTCCCTTTTTTGGACCTGGGTTTTCTCACAGGTCACAGAACAAGGAGCAAAGGCAAGATTAAGACCTGTACTTCCTTCAGGGAGTTTCTCATTAGAAGTGCACACAGAATAATATAAAAAGGCTTTGATAGTGAATCTATACACAGAACAAAACTAGATAATTCAGGCTAAAATAATAAAGGAAAGTTAATAGTCTATTGCTTTGATGAATTTAAGAAACTATCGAAGTACCTCCGAGTTAATTTTAGAACTGAATGGGAAAGCCATAAATTGAGTGTGACTAGGTACACCGTATATACATACCATATAATGAGGTAGGTATCTCATAGAAAAATTTGCTAACATGACAAGAAAATAATTGGATTATAAATATAGACAACACAGTTTCCTTAACACAGTCATTATGGAGCTAAATGGTCACTGTTTGCTAACAAATTACTTTTAAACTGATTATATTTAGTTATCTTCTCTCAAGTTGATTTTGATCTCTGCCCTATAGAAAGCACAATTTTCATTTTTCCTTTCCCTTCTCTGGGCTTTTACTTTACTATTTACATTCTCTTTATCACTCTCATTTGGATGGTCACCTCTGGGTCTTGTATTCTTCTAGGCCTTTTTCATTTTTCTCTGCACACTTTTAGCATTAATCTCTACTGTCACTGCTAAGTACCATGAGAGTTTAGTAAGGGATGTAGTATCAAGACCCGTCCCTGCATAGTAAAAGTAGTAAAGGAGAAGTGAGAGCTGTTGTAGGAAAGCAGATTTTCATGGGGGGAAGTCTTACATTTGTAAACAACACTGCACAAACACTGACAACTCTCCGTTATTATTCCATCCATATCGCACTCAAACCAAACTAACCTGAAGGTGAATCATCTCTAAGAACTCCTGCAGAGTCTTGGGTTTTTCGCCTCTGCTCCTTCGGCATGCCTTTACTTTCTTGGGGGCTGCTTCCTCTTCTGAGATAACATCCACATAAATGAATTTGAAGTTTCCCACCTTATTATTCAACACTCCTGTCCACATCCCCATTGGCGTTTTGCTGATAATGTCTATGATGTCTCCTTTCTAAAGGAAAAAATGATGTACAAGTCAGATTTCAGAGAACTATGCTGCTATGAAAATGTATAGAAAAAAATGGAATCATAGAAAACTAGAAAAATGAGGACATTATGCTAAAGAGTTTCGGCAGTAACAGAATTGAGTCTAAGAGTTCACTTCTCTCCAAAGCTGAAGGAAGTTACTTATTAGTACTAATGAAGAACGCTTCAACATACTTAAAGAAAATCTTCTACATACATTTGATGACACATTTATGTTCTTGTGAACATATCAACTTATATTTGTAGAGCAAAGTACAATTTACAACATACTTTCACATACACTAAGTTGTTTTTTACTCACAAGATACATCTGAGGTATATAAAGGAATAGCATCATTATTATTGTTTTAAGTATTGCAAAAAAGAAATAGAGATGCTAAATGACTTCACAAGAGTATATAGAATGCTAACTGCAATATCATAACTCAAGTCCGAATTGTCTGAGCTGAAAAAAAAATTCTGTTTTTCTTCATATTATCAAAGCAATCTATATATAGCAAACCTAAGGTCATCATTCCTGGAGAATCCCCCTCCAAGTGAGGAAAAGAAAGAAGAAAGATGTCTGTGGCTCCTTTCTTGCTTCTAGTTCACCTCGAAAATTAATCTATAGTATGAAATAAACCCATTAACTAAATAAACTCATCCATATAACATCATAAAATTATATAGAAATTGGCAAATAAATATGTAACAAGAGTTTCAGTGTGCTAGGAAAAATTATGCTCCTTACTTCTTATTTAGGTACTAATATTATTCCTCATATTAAGAGAACATGATATCTAGATTGAGCTCCACAACAAAATTTTGATTGACGTAGATATGGAGCACATTGGAATGGATAATCTATAGATGTATTTTTATTAAAATCTGAGACCATAATTGGTTACAGGCTGCCAGTTATTGTCAAGAGTGGAAACCTCATGGGGGGTATTTCTTAGTAAAGAATATAAATTTCTGTGCATTTAAGAGTCATAATTATTCCTTAAAGACTTATCAATTTATGCCTCAGAAAATGGCACAGATTCCAGTATTTTTGTCATTTTTGAAAGTCTACCATCAAATAAAACATTAGATCTGCTACTAAAAATATTTTTCCCTTCTACTCTGTGCATGCATATTTTTCTATGTAAAACACACATCTTATTTGTAAAGACAGAATTCAGTGTGATTGAAAGATCTGGTCTTTCTGAACCGTGATCATCTTGTTCAGCCCATGAGCTGTTACCCTAGGTCTTCCTGCCTTTAAATATCTATATAAGGGAATCAAATCCCAGCTAGTTAAATGGTCTCAGCTAAGAAGACCAAGAAACTCCCCAGAAGCTCTAGGAAGTTTCTAGTTTTGATGGCCCCTTGCTGCATCCTCTTTTTTATCCTTTACACATGTAAACTTGTAACCTTTAAGTCTGTAAACCTACACATGCCAGGAAAGCCAACAGGTCAACAAACACTGAATCATTTTGGATAAGAACCATGATGGGAACAATAGGCTTTCAATCCTCCGTAGTACCACAAGATTCTACATCCTATAAGCACTTCGTAAGAATCACCGTAGGCAGTGCAAGCGGTGGCGCACTGGCTTTGTACTGTGGGGAAGTTGAAAAAGCTATCCTGACTTAAAATATGTTCCCTTTATCTTTATTCCTTTAAAATGCCCTCCTCTCACAGGGGTTAGTAGGCTACAAGCATCTTTTCCCCAAGACTTGACCTTAGACTTCAAATCATTTCATACAAATGACTAAGGAATGAACTGTGGGGGAACCATGTTTTTCTCATTCTCTGACTGACCTTCTCTGATTTGATTAGCATAGAGAGGATAAAGAGAAGAGCTGAGTGTCTTCAATGTTAAACAATAATATCAATACTTCATATCATTTCATAACTATTAGTTAATATTGGTTCGGTGTTCACAGGATAAAAAATACATAATTTATGTTCCCTTAGCTGCAACACTTCATGATACTGAAAGGAGAACAATTTAACATCTACAGATAGTTTAGCACAAAACTTTCTCCTACTTTTGCTCCCTTCCAATGTGAGCAAGATTATGAAAATGGTAATTTCATACTCATAAAATGCTACCTTGCAAGATAGAATGGACTTTGAAGATGTAATTAATGCCTCAAAGTGGTTGATTTTGAATTAATCAATAATAAGATTATCTGGTTGGGTCTGACCTAATCAGGTAGCAAATGCTTTAGAAAGGCAGTGAAACCTAGCTGGGCTTTCCTTCAGCTGGCCTTAAAGGAGTGAAGGTCATTGCTGAAGGAATCTAGGGGCTGAGAATGGCCACCAGTTGGTAGCCAGCATGAAGCAGGGGCTTACTCCCACAATCACAGGAAGTAAATTCTGCCAATAGCCAGTTAGATTGAAAGTGGACCCCCAAGCCACAGATGAGATCATCGCCTGGCTGACACTTTGATTTGAACCCAATGAGACCTTAAGCAGAGAACTTCAGCCCATGCCCAGACTTATAAACTACAGAAACAGTGAGATAATAAATTTATGTTGTTTGAAATCTACAAGGTTGGGATAATTTGTTATATAACAATAGAAAACAAGTATAGAGGATAAGAGTAAGAAGAGGGCAGGACCAGCAGGTGGCATGGTGGTTAAGTTGCTGGACACTCCTACATGGCTGACCATGGTTCAAGTCCTGGACCTGGTAGCTTGCTTTCTCACTTTCTCTCTCTCTCTCTCTCTCTGTGTGTGTGTGTGTGTATGTGTGTGTGTGTGTCTGTCTCTCTCTCTCTGTGGTCAAATTAAAATAAATGAATGAATAAATTAAATTAAATAAAGTAAATCTTTAAAAAAAAAGTGTTAAAAAGTCACTGATTTAAAAAAAAAAAAAAAAAAAGAGGGCATTCAGGAGTGAATATCATTGGAAGAAAGTTTTCTGGTTACTTATAAGAACCAAAAAGTGCTGGAGTTGTCCACCAAGTCGGTTCCCGATACCTTTGCTCTGCTGGGCTCCTGTCTGATATTTCCATCTTCTCTCCATGTTGATTGGCTCTATTATTTTTACAACACCAAGTATCAGGCAGACCTGGACACCTCAAGCAACCTGTGAGACTTGGTTTTCTGAAAAAGGTAGACCATTCCCCTCCCTCTGATAGCCTTTGAACTAGTACTATCTGTATAATAGTAACTTACAGTAATCGCCTGCACAGACTGAGCCCTTCTACCCACCCCCCAGGTCTTTCATTCAAATTCTTACCACAGTACCAGACCCGAGTTCTCCTGTTGGAAGGCATACACTCAAACCACCAGTTCCTGCGCCTTGTACTTCCCAAAACAGAACACAAAATCCGCATTTGACAAGTCTTTTAGAAGACATATCTGATACTCACTCACCTTGATTTTGAGGGAGTCAGTGTCATAGGGACTTGGTGTAAAATCAGTATGCACTCTGGCCCGACCACAGAATGGTCCCGAGTAGGGGCTGTCATCATCCAGCCGAAAGCTGTCCCGGTTATTCGTACCATCTGAACAGCTTGTTATTCCACCTGATGAAAGCAGAGATGAACAGTTTTCACCAAAGGCTTTTAACGTTGTGAACCATCAGCTGGACACAGGTAAGCATGGAAAGCGCTGAGGCACTGGACGCCACCTGAGGGTGGTTTCATGGAATGTCCAGTTTCTCTCTCCTCATCACTCTCCATTAGTGACTCGGTCCTCTGAGCATTTCCCACCTTCTTCCTGCCACTCTCCCCTCAACGGCTCACCCAGACACCCTCTGGGTCTGTGATCTGATGCAGTGCACAATGGTTAAGCAGTGGACACTTGCTAAAGAAGAGGCTGGTGTAAATTCAACCCTGGAGTGAGCAAGAAAAATTGAATTCACACACGTGAACAAAGACAGAAACTGATAGAAGCAGTTTGATCTTTGTGGACTAATGATCACACATGGTCGAAGTACAAGATTTCAAGGCTCCCTAGGACTTATCTTCCAGAAGCCATTTTGAGCAATACTTCTGTACATGTAAGGTGGAACTTTCGCTTATCGTGTGAGAATGAGGGAAGGAGGAAGTGTGTCAGGATGTCTGGACGCCCACGTGGTTCAAAGCCATACTAAATTGGGCTTTTAAATTTGCTTTAAATCCTTGTTTTCAGGTCCACTTCCTGTCTGATCTTCAATTTTAGGGAAAACAAAGATTTCATTCTACTGTATGCCTGGGGCCAAGAAGGATTTCCAGACAAAGTAGCTCTTGGTTTCCTCCAACCTCTGTCACTGCCTCCTTCAGTCTGGCCTTTCCATTCTCTGTTCAAAGGAAGAAAAGCCTGAGTTTCACTACCATCCATTATGGAAATAAGGTGAAGAACATTCGAAATGCTGTATATGGTATATGAACTGGGGTTTCATCTAAACACAGAAATTAAATTGTATAGCAGTTGAATGGGCAACCTTTCCATTATAACCTCACTTTCATCATCCTAGGCCTGGCCATCACATGATACTTTTGTAGTTAATAAAATTCTCCCCACATTCAGCAGTACAATTTAGAACTTTAAAACTTCAAGCAGAAATGAATACTAATGAAATCTAATTTTTACACATGCAAACATACATCGTTCAAATGTTCCTGCATTAGCTTTTTCCCAAAGTAATTGTCCTACAGCCAATAGGAAAATAGGAATAAAATTCAGGATATTTGAAACATCTGGTCTTCGCAATCCATCCTCAATAACAGAAGCATTTGATTTAAAAGGAAATGGAAAATAAACTTTGTAAAAACATTAAAAGCCTTGAAAAGATTATGGAGGTATGTAACAATCTACATATAAAAAGTTAGAAGGCACCCTACCATACATATCAATAGTTTCACCCTAATGTAGTAGGAAATGTGACTAAATACTGAGTGATTTCCTTCTTAGAAAAATATCAGTGTTCTTTAGAAAGTCCTCATTGTTCACTTACTAACTCCTTTATGTCAACTAAAATTGGTGATATTCTTACCATTTAGTATCTGCATATTGCTTCATTCGTTTGTGTCCTAAAAAGTAAATGCCAGAACTGATGCCAATGCCCTGCACTTTTCAGAAAATCTTATGAAATAATAAAAAGAATGTAAGGAAAAATAGAGAAAGAAAGAGAGAGATGAGAGGGTGGGGAGTAAGATAGAGTTAAAGAGAGCAAGCAAACAGGATTTCATTTATCTGAATACTTATAGTCATTTTTTAAATTTTGACTCAAGATAATGTTAGTTTTGTCTAGCAATCATTTTTATTTTAGACATGCATATTTAATTACCCCACACAACTTTTTAAAGGCATATTCTTAATAGTGCTACTGACTATGGCATTTTTAAATGATACATAATTCTGTCTAAAGTATAATGTATCTCTTTTTTAAAGTTTTTTGCTATAGGGTGCATTTGCTTGCAAGAAAGACAGAGAGACAGAGAGACAGAAATCAGAAAATCACCCCCCAGGGGGGTGGCCATGCCACAATCCCTTCTCCTGCATTCTCCTCTTGGGATCTTGGGCACGCACACACATGTGCCTGGTGTTAAGTTTAAGCCACCAAGGTTAAGTCCAAGACCAGGTCTTAGACTCGATCTGGAACTTGAACTGCGCTCAACTAGATGGGAGTCCAGAGACATAGCCATTATGCAACTGCTGGCCCCAATATAATGTATTATTTTAAACAATAACATCTCTGTATCGACTGAATAGATCCCACATTTTTACCATTCTCTTGTCAAGTAGCTGGAACTTTGTTGCTGATTTGATGAACGAGTACCAAAATGTAAATTTATTGTTCTTTTTATAATTATTTTAACCCAGATATAGGCTCTTGTCCTTTATTCATTAGCCTTACTTGATGAGCTCTGACCACTGTAAAGACTATCCATTGAGTCACTGGCTTTGAGGGAGACCTTCTCTGTGTGAGTCCCCATCACTGGGTCACTGTTTCGGTATGGAAGAGCATCCTCTCCATCTTCCTCATCCTTAAGAGAAATACATCAGAGATTAGGTACAGAGCACAGAGTCCCATGGAGATGTTCACTGTGTGCACTGATTTCACAAACAAGACATATTCTAGTAATAAAATACTTGAGAATACATCAGCATAAAATATGAGAGCCATTAATCCTTCGTTCAATTTCTAGCAAATTGTTTTAGAGTCTACTTGGAAATTTAACTTCGAGGAGATATTCTTTATTGTGGAATTCAACTGAAACACGATGGTTCATTTGTGCAAATTAGGATTAATATCATATCAAGACTATTTAGTCAGAAATGTTAGATTTATTGACTTCTAAGCTTTATCTATTACAGCACTTTCACTTCTTCATGTCCCCCTTATCCTTTATTTACCACCATTACTAATCCTTTGAGATCGGAAACTACAAGTTGAAACTCTGCATAGTTGTTTCATGTCAGTTATTTGCACCCTACCCGATCATTAGATATGAATAAAACATGCACACTTTGCAATTCTAAAGCAAAGCTTATCTAAGAAGCTTTACAAATCTCATACCGTGCTTGCCACCTAGTCAAATGAAAAGCAAATCTTGCATAAAATTAGAAAAGAAAGACAATTTCAAAACAAATTATATTTCCTTGAAAACATCTCAAATGTTTTCCATATTTAGACAGTTTGAACAAAACCTGTGAATTTCTTAATAGTCATCAGAATGTAATTAAACATTTTTCATCTTTTAGCATTTCCAAACATTAACAAAACTTAGGAATATGATATATATGATAAATACTCAGTTTAATTCTCTACTTTTATCCATCCTTTTATTTATTCATTCAAATCAGTCATTCAATGCCAATTTTTAAAATACCTCTTTGCTACTGCCCTAGGAACTAGGGAGACCATAGTAAAGAGGATAGCAAGATCTTTATTCAAATGAGGTACATTCTACTGTGTTAGGCTACATGTGTGTATAGAGTGTTTGGAGAAGGTGTGTGTAAACAAAACGAGCAAGATTGTTTCAGACAATAGTAAGTGACATGAAGGATATAAAACTGAGGAATGTGAGAGCTAGTTACTGGGATCAGGGTTAAAGGAAGGCTGGCTGACTTCAAATAGACTCTAAAGTGTCTGCCATGAGGCAATATACACTATGAATTATTGACCTGAATGATAGGAAAATACAATTTTGTTAAGTTTTGGAGACAGTTTTATAAGGAAAAGGAACAGTAAGAGCAGATAACTAAACTCAGAATTAGCTTGAGTTGTACCAGGGGAAACAACAAGGTCAGTGGAGTAAGAGAAAGGTGATATTGTATATGAGTTCAAACCCAAGAGACTGGAATCAGATTACAAGGCTTAGTCGACTACATGGAAGTGTTTCCTTGCTGCAGGACACTTGGTTTCTTTACTGCCAGTTCCATTACTGCCCTTCTGTTTCCAACACAGTGTTTGCACTGAAGCCATGCATCCCTGCCAGTGACGTAAACAAGTGGGATGGTACTTGAGTCCATTCTGGTGGGATGTGGAAAACGGGAAAATTTTCATTTGAGGATTTCCCCATTAACCTGGTTAAAGCGTTCTTAAAACTGTGGTAATGTCTTCTAAGTCTCTTTCTATCTGATTCTCCTTCCTTTCCTTTTAAATATGTGAGACTCACATTGCCACCTAAAGTTTTCCCCTACCCACTCCTTCCTCCTATTTAAACACCACAAGAAATTTACCCCAATAAATCTGTGATTTTTATATTCCCTTTTGGAATCTGCTTCTTAGAAGGCTGAAATGAACATACCATAGTAAAGACGACATGCATTGTGAAGGCATTTGAGTTTTACCAGGGATGTGACATGTTTTGACTTCCCTTATTCAGAGATCTTTCTGGTTTTCATGTGAAGAATAGATTTATGGGGGAAGGTGTACAAGAGAGGAAAGCAATGAGTTGGTATTATGATAATTCAGGCCAGAGAGTTTGGTTACTTAGTCCAAAGCAGAAATAATTCATATGGCAAAATCAGGAGTTTTAGGTAAACAGAATCAGAACCAAGAAGTTGTGTTGATGAATTGGTGTGATAAGTGACAGAAGGAATTTAGGATGATTCTTAGGTTTTCATTTTCCTTTGTGTTTCTTTCCTTTTTTCTCTTTCTTTTTTTTCTTTTTTTCTTTTATTTCCCCTATTCTTTCCTTTCTTTTTTTCCTTCCTTCTTTCTCTTTAGTAGAGTTATGACCATGTCATCTGTTGCCACTGGGAATATCAGACTAAAAAAATCCCTCCCCCTTTTTTAAAGGTGTAGGGAGTCAATCTTTTGGTTTTAAATTTGGTAGCTTTCAGATATATATGAGACATTTAAATGATAATGTCAAATAATTCATTGGCCATTTAAGTACAGATAATGAACAGGTAGAGATGGAATTATGACAAAGTCATGAGACTGGATGACATCACTTAGGAAAGGAGGGAAGTTCAGAGCTCCCAAGATCAAGCCTCAGGAGCACTTGCTATCTTGAGGGACACTAAATAAACCAAAGTCAAGAAAGTGGACTATGAGGAAGAAGAAGAGTCAGAAAAATACCCAGAGAAACTGAGAGTAGACACTCTCTACTTGTGTCAGCTTGTGTCAAATTTAGCCGAAAAGTAATAGAAGAAGACAGAAAAGTGACCACTGGAATTGGTAACACATGTCAATACGAACCGTGACACTGTTTTGGAGTATTGTGAAATAAACCCCTATAAAAGTGCATTATAAAAGAGAATGGACATTTCACTTTAGAAGTTAAGTGATGTATAGTGATTGAATGTATGAAATAAAATTTAAAAAAGGGAGAATGGACATAAGACATATAAATCAGCACAACAGAATTAAGAGTCTGTAACTATACTTAGACATTTATGGTCTAAACATTAATGACCATATATGTATGGTCAATTTATTTTCAACAAGAATTCCAAGATAATACAATGGAGAAAGAATAGTCTTTTCAACTAACAGAATTTGGACAATGGAATACCCATATGCAATAAAAATGAAGTTAGACTTTGACACATCACGTGGAAAAATTAACTTGAAACAAATCACACACGAAAATTTATGAATCAAAACTATGAAACTCTTAGAAGAAAGCATAGGAGTAAATCTCTGAGACTTTAGGTTAGGTGATGGTTTATTAGATAAACCAAGAGAAAAAATCATGAAAGAAAATAGATAAACTACAACAAAACTACGAATTTATGCTGCAAATGATATCATCAAGAAAACAAAAATACAGAGAAGAAGCCAGGCCTTCAGAAGAAGGTTCCACATGGCTCCACTGAACTAGATTTTTCAGGGAATGAAGATTTTCTACTGATAATTCCACCTCCAACAAACGAGCTAGTGGCTGAACTTCAAGAATTTGAAAGAAACACACCATCCATCAGATGACAAGAAATCACCATGGGATCACGAGAAATACGGGAAAACGAGAAAATATCTCTCCTTCAAGGGAAAAGAGTAACTCTTCTTCATCCACAAGCAGTTTGGTGAAAATCATGGAAATGTCTGATAAGGAATTTAGAGCATTCATAATGTCGAAGCTAACAGACATAGAAGAGAAGAGAGACAATGAAATGCTAAAGAGAAAGGAGAAAGAAGTTGATGAGTTCCAGGAGATGAGGAAATTCTTACAAGATCTAAAAGAGGAATTACACACTTTAGAAAAGACTCAAACAGAACTGCTAGAGATGAAGTCTATAATACAAGAAGTAAAAATCTCTCTTGAAAGTATTAAAAGCAGACTAGATCATTCAGAAAATAGAATCTCAGATGTAAAAGAGAAGATGGCTGGCCTAGAAAAATCCACCACGAAGACTGAGAAAATGGATCCAAAATTTGAGAATAATATGCAAGAAGTACTGGATACTATCAAATGTCCAAATATCCA